GAAGAAGAAGAAGAAGAAGAAGAAGAAGAAGAAGAAGAAGAAGAAGAAGAAGAAGAAGAAGAAAGAAGAAATGCTTCCTTGCCTGACAACCTAGTTTCAATTCCTGGGGATCCACATGTACTGCACTAAATAAATGTAATAAAAATTAGGGGGGAAACCCCTCTGATTTGGGGCAAAGTGGCTCAGTGGGTAAAAATGCTTGCAGTACAAACCTGATGATCTGAATTCAATTTCTGGAGCCCACAGTGGTGCCTGCTAACCACACATGTGCTGTGGTGTTTTCACTACCCACTCATAATGACAATAAATACATAGAAATTTAAATCTCTGACTTGGCTGTACATGGTGGTATATGCCAATAGTCTCAGCACTCAGGAGGCCGAGACAAGAGGATCATTTGAGCGCAAGAGCTTGAGGCCAACCTATGTTGTATAATGGGACCTTATCAAGGAAGAGAGAAAAAGAGAGAGAAAGAAGAAAGGAAGAAAGAAGAGAGAGAGAGAGAGAGAAAGAAAGAAAGAAAGAAAGAAAGAAAGAAAGAAAGAAAGAAAGAAAGAAGGAAAGAAAGAATTGGGCATGGTGGCACACACTTGCAATCCAAGCACTCAGGGAGCCAGAAGCAGGCAGATTTCTGTGAGTTTGGGGCCAGTCTACTCTACAAAGTGAGACCAGGAAAGCCATAACCAGGGCTACACAGAGAAACCCTGTCTCAAAAAAGAAAAGAAAAGAGAGAGAGAGAAAAAGAAAAAAAAAGAATGATGGAAAGAAGGAAGGAGGAAAGGAAGGAAGAAGAGAAGAACTACATTGCTACCCTCCCACACACACTTTTAAACACTCTACCCTAACCCTGGCTCATACCTCATCTTGAAACCACCTTGCCCCAGAGACTAGAAATGGCTCCAGTCTCTTCCAAGTGTTGATCAGCCTCCTCAGTCTGGCCTTCAAGACCTTTACTTTTCATGATCATTCCCTTCCTCCTTTCATTCAGTATTTCTGCTTCTCACTGGGTCCATCGAAACACATCTGTCATTGTAGTGCTCAGGAGGCTAAAGCAAAAAGATCTCAATTTCAAGATCTGTCTGTGCTACAAGTTCAAGGCCAGCCTGGAAAACTTAGGGAGACTTTGTCTCAAAAGGAAAAGAACCCCAGCACTTGGGAGACAGAGGTAAGTGAATGTCTGTGAGTTCAAGTCCAGGCTGATCTATATAGTAAGTTCCAGGACAGCCAGAGCTACAAAATAGAGGGACTCAAAACAAAACAAACAAAACCCCCAAAACAAAAAGAAAATAAAAGAAAAAGGATATAGTTTAACAGCTGAGTCCTTACCTAGCATATGTGAAGCCCTAGGTTCAATTCTTAGCATTTGAACAACCAATGTAAAACAAACAAACAAAAAAACAGAAGAAAATAAATAAAACTTTTTGTTTTATGTAGAGCAATGTAGAGAGACAAGAAAGTCAGTGTCCCTACCTGTTTTGGTTTGGTTTTGGTTTTTCGAGACAGGACTTCTCTGTGTAGCCTTGGCTGTCCTAGACTCACTTTGTAGAACAGGCTGGTCTCGAATTCAGAGATCCGCCTGTCTCTGCCTCCCTGAGTGCTGGGATTACTGGAGTGCATCACTGTCCCTACTTTCAAGGTGACCCTGGACAAGTTAATATTTCAAAGAGCCTGAACTTACACAGGTTAGTAAGCAGATAAAATGATACAATAGGAAAACACATTGAAAATATAAACTACTATGCAGTGGAGTGCTGCTCGGCACAGGGATTGACAGGAGTAAGCTCAGACACATTGGCCCTTTCCGGAAGAAGTGCAGGCAGTGTCAGAGACAACTTGCTGCAGCTAAGGAGACTCTGGGAGGAGGACAGGTACTGGTGGGGGTTCCTTGACTACCCACCTTGTGGAAAATGTCCTCCCATTGGACCCAACTTGTTCCCCTTGGCCTTGCCCACCTCTAATCTCTCTAAGGTCCTTCTTTTCCCAAATCCCCTGAAAATTCATTGTTCTCATAAAATCGTCCACTTGGAGATTCACAAGGTCCCTGTCATCACATTCCTCCTGCATGTTCAGCTTTCCAGCTCCGCTAACTCAAAAACATGCAGACGCTGGATTGATACTATCTAGATTGGTGACTATTTTGGGTCAGACATACAGGCTTCTCCACAAACCAGTCATGAGTCATTTTTCAGACACAAAAAGCCACATTGGATACAGGAGCATTTTCTTAGGTTCTAATGCCTCCCAACACAGAGTGAGAGTGTGAGAATGCTCCCTGCTCCTGCTCCTGCTCCAACTTAGAGCACCAAGGGACTGAGGGTCTCATCTCTCCTCTAAATACAGCCAGCATTTATACCTCCAATGAACAAAGTAGCCCCGAGGTCCTGTGTCCTCAGGGGTTGAGTTTGCCTTGCTCAAAACTCTATCCTCAATATCCAGCCTAATGCTTAGTACAAGCTGAACCAATATGTAGATAAATGACGAAATGAGTAGAGTCAGATCTGTGGCAGCTTTATTGGGAGGTAATCTCTTTCCGTTGGCTAGCAAGAGTTGGGGATCGGTGAAAGAAAGAGGAATGAGGCAAAGGAATACATAAGAAAATAAACATCAGTGAGACTTCGATGGAGATGAGGAACTGTTAGTGTACAATGACTTAAGAGCCTCGCATCATTACAGGAGTGAGGTCAGCCAGCATTAAAAGCATGGAGGTAGCACAGTGAACTCAACCATAAGGGCAAGGAGAGAACTAGAAGCAGAAGAAAAATGCAGCCAAGGGCATCTAAGGCTACTGGGATGGTTTCTCGTGCTTCAGAGTCTCATAGGTCTCTTGGTTGCGGGTGCTCAGGCCCTGCAGGAGAGTCAAAGGGTCATCAGGAGCTTCAGCTCATCCCTGGGCCCTGTCCACCCCATAGACTCCATTCCTATTAAGGTCACTCAACCCCAGCCTCTACCCGTAAGGTAAAGAAAAAGAGGTTCACTCACCGTGTAGACAGCATCTGATTTCTGCAGAGATGGAAGGAGCAAGGCATTAGGGACCTACAGTTTCTTCTTCTTCTTCTACACCCACATCATTTTCTTTCCCACCCAGGGAGAATCTAGGTCAAGGTCAACGTCAGCTGCCTCAAGCCAGGAGCATTCACATGATTGCTAACTTACCCATATGACTACAAACACACCTCAGAACAACATCCAACTCTCTCAAATATTGTCACCTCTATTTGGTTCTTTCCTGTCTGGACATTTTATTTGCAGCTCAACTAGATGGCTGGGTGCTACCCATCCTGAGGTGAGGGTCAGGATGGAGATTAACATCCAAGACACATGCCTTCGGGAGCCCTCAGACCTCAGAAAAGTTGAGAGCCTGAAAAGTAACGTTCACCCATAGATGTGGAAGACTCCATACCTCATGGCTGGCTACAGCTGCCTTTCGGACCTGAATCTGGAGTGGGGAAAAGGCAATCGGTAAAGGAGAAGTTGGAGGCCCATCTCCTTTCCCTCCAAACCATAGAGAGCCCCTTGGCTTCCCCTTCCTGCCACCCTCCCACTCCCTTGGGTCCGGTTCTTGGACCACCCCATCCCGCCTTACCTTGAGTCGACAGTAGAGCAGGGTAAGGACAATACCGTACAAAAACAGGATGGCGTCCAGAATATAGCAGAGTTGGGGCTCTCCCAGGGCAGCTGAGGGGACACAGAGTGCCCGTGGGACCCGGTGTATAAGGAAGGGGAGGGCTACTCGGAGGAGGGGAAGGGGTCAGGGAGGTAGGACAGGGCCTTGTGGGGGTCCTTCTGTGGGAAGAAACTAACTCCCTCTCTAGATTGCTGATTCCCATCTTGTCCCACAGAACATGGGAGTTGGATAGGAAGCATGTCGGGTTCTGTTGCGGTAGGACTTGGGTTTACTAAGGTTAGACACTTCCCTCTCGGCCCTATACCTCTTCTCAGCATTGTGGTTCCTCTGGCACCACTGAGCACTTTACCTTAAGGACCCATCAGAGTTTATTGAGCTGAGATAAAAACCTCAGCCAGAAGGGGAGGGCAAAGAGAAATAGTGGCAAATTTCAGCAGAGAAACCACAAAAGTATGTCTCTGCTCAGTCCTGTGACCTGTGGCTGAGCGCTGGACAGGAAGGATATGAGCTGGGGAAGGGAGGGAAGGCAATTACTCTATTATTTGTCATCTCAGCCTGGATGCTTTCTGCCTCACAAGTTACTTAATATGCTCCCTACCCCCACCCCACCCCAAAAAAACCAAACCAGAGTGACTGCTTTTTGAGGCTCTAGAGAGGCCATGGACTCTGCACGTGAAGCTGGTGACCGCAGCTCAAAGAGAAGACCACAAGCTAAATCCAAAACCTGAATTCCTGCTCCTGCTCCTCTGCCCTGTTAAATCATGCTAGGCTTCTAAGACTTCAGAAAACAAACAAAAATCACACAGGAGCTGAAAGAGGTGGGTCATAAAACCCCAGCAGTTGGGAGGCTGAGGAAAGAGCATTGCCATGCCCGTTTGAGGTCAGCCAAGCTACACAGTGACTTCCAGACCAGCCTAGAATATAAGAGTGAGATCCTGTCAGAAAAGAAAAAAGCTGGGTGGTGGTGGCACACACCTTTAATTCCAGCACTTGGGAGGCAGAGGCAGGTGGACCTTTGAGTTTGAGGCTAGCCTAGTCTTCAGATCAAGGACATCCAGGGCTACACAGAGAAACCCTATCTGGGAGGGTGAGGGGGGCAGTGAGACATGGACAATAAACACCCAACAAACAAACAAAACCCAAAAAACAAAGGGCACAGGAACTGAATGAACACGACGGCCCCCACACAATCTCATGAGGCTGAGGCAGGTAGAGTGGGAATGATACCAGCCTGGACTACATATGAGATCCTGCCTCAGATATCACACAGGGTCTGGGCTCCAGAGGTTGGCCCCAGCCTTATCAGGAGCAGTGTGTGATATTAGCCTACTGCTGGGGCCTTGACAGTTTTGCTCTTCTCAGCTGATGCATGAGTCTGTAGGACTGAGCACTTTGTGCGGCCCCTCTTATCAGTTGACAAGACGGCGCGGCCCTGTCCAATTCCACACAAGTCAAGCTGCCAAGATTGGTACTTTTTATTCTACAACACTCACACACGATATTGCATAAATCTCAAAACTACCCTGTGAAAGAAGCATCAATGTCACCATTTTACAGATGACGAAACAGCAACTCAGAAAAGCTGAGCAGCACTCAGGGCCAGAGTTAAGCAACAGAATTGGAACTCAAATCCAGGTTTCCTGCTTCCAAAGCCAGTCCTTTGCTCTGTTCCCCCAAAGTTTAATCCTACCTCTGCAAAAGCCAGCTTTTCACAATTCCTTGCTGGGCATGGTGGTACAGGCCTATAAACCCAGCACTTGGAAGGTGGATCAGGAGGATCAGATCAAGATTAGCCTCAGCTAAACAGGGAGTTTCCAGGCTAACCTGGGCTAGATAATAACATCACCCACAAAACAAGACAAACACCTCATACTGATATTTTCCCAGGTTAGTGAGAATGCACAGTAAGCAAACGCTTGGGGGAGTTCTTAGGCAGACCAGATCCTCAGAGCTGCTGGATCTTGCTGTTCTTGCTTTCACTTCTCAACAGATGACAGATTACAGGACTCGGAGCTGTTGCCTACCGTTACCAGTTAACAGGATGGTGTGGTCCCTGACCATCCCCAGATATGGTATTCATGTCTATTTTGACTCCCTTGCCTCACTCCCAAGCTCACACAGGCCCTAGCCTATCTAGAAGGCTATTTATATAACTAGCTAGAGGTCGGCCCCCAACAGAGACCAAGAGTACCCCATGGTATTGCTGATCAAGAGAAAAAGCCTTTCCTAAACCAGCATTTCATGCTGTATATAGTCCCTACCCCCAATAAATTCACCCTTCATATTGGTCCTCAAGTCAGTATGGAAGGTAAGAAAAGAACAAGATGGAAATGATGGCAGTGCCTACGTGGGAACCAAAAAGGGCTAACTTCAGGCTAACACAGGGCCTCAGCCCTGTGCCCACCCGCCCAGCCCCAGTCTTCTTTCCGTCCCCAATTCATGTCCCAGATTCCCATTCAAGTCCAGCTAACAGCCCTCACCGAACCCTTTTGCCTACCTGCTTGTTCGACCAAAAGGAGCAGGAGCAGGACCACGGCTGCAATCATCTTGGGCGGGGGCTTCGGGGCTGGGAGCTGGTGGCCACACGCTCGCTCTGACGGAACTGCGCAGCTGTGCCCACGAACAGTTCTCTGACCACAGCTCCCCTCTTCCTGCCACGCCTTCCCCACACTTTGGCCCCTTCCCCTTCCTGCACTACAGACCAGGCGGCTACCGGAAGGGCCAACTAGGGGAGCTGGAAGATCTGGCCTCTAAGCCTCAGCCCTGAGACCAACCCAACCTTCAGAATGCTTTCATGCTTGGGAATGGTTGTCTGTATCTGCCATGTTTAACAACCCCAAACACAGCCGCCACTCAGACATACATATATATGTAGCAAACTGCCCCTTGAGACTCCTTAGATTCCCCCATAGCCTTTGCCTTTCTACCTGGAACTTTATATATTCAGTCTTCACTTGCGCTTACCAGTTTTACAGATACCAACAGGGTCTGGGCAGGAGGAACTGAGGGGAAAGGGGAAATGGGGAATGCAGAAGTGGAAAGGACAAGAGTCAGAGAGTGGGTGGAGATCAGCTGGGAAAACTGCTGAGATCTAACTCAGAGAAATACAAAGTGAAAGACAGTACGACACCAAGAAAGACACAAGAGAAGCTTGAGCATAGGCGCCGGAAGGCGGCTAATTTAATATAATTTCTCCTTTTCTAGTACATGCACAGAAAACCTGTACAGGTAGGTCAACGTGTACAAGTATGTTTGTCTATACCACAAAGACACATAACCTCATTTCCCACAAGGGACAGTCCTTGAAGAGGAAGCTGACAGGCAGGGGAGCTCACAAAGGCTGTGCCTCTGTTCATCTGTCTACTTCTCCAAACACAATATCCTGGGTACCTAAAAAGTTAGAGAATGAAGTGTTAGCACCAGAGGTCCAGAGCACATGACTATGTGCAAGACACTCCGGCCTGGAGGCCAGGACACAGTGGATACTGAACAGGGAGTGTTTGGTTTTTGTTCCCAGAACCCCAAACCCCTTGTCTTAGACACCTCAATACATAATAAATGGGTCTCATACCTATGATGGCTACGACATCTGCCAGCATGTGTCCCTTAGACATCTTGTCCAAACCAGCCTGCAGAGATGGGGAGAGCAACCGTGTTAACTCAAGTTTGCAGAGAAAAGCCCTGAAAAACTCTGATCCAAAGGCCAGGTGTGGCAGTACACACCATTAGCGTCGGCACATGGGGAGATGTTCATGAGTTTGAAGCCAGCCTCGTCTACATACAGAATTCTAGGCCAGCCAGAGCTACACAGTGAGACCTTGTCTCAAAAGCCAAAACAAACCAAAAACACAACAATAAAAACCTCAAGCCAAAATCCTCAACCAAGTCAGGCTTAGGAGCTCATGTCGGTAATACTAGCACTTGAGAGTCTAAGGCAGGAAGACAACTGAGGATCTAGGATAGCCCTCACCCACAGGGAGTTCCAGCCTAATTTGGGTTATGTAGCAAAACTTTGTCTTAAACAAACAAATGAAACAAAACAAAATCTCAACCTAAGAGTTGGGCATTGGGCGTGGGGGCATAGACCTGAGGAGATGGTAAATTTGAGCCCAGCCTAGCACCATAGTGAGTTGTAGACAAGCGAGGGCTGTGTAGCAAAGTCCTATTTCACAAAGTGCTGGGGAGAAGAGGCCTGAGAGAGGCTCCCTGTACCAACGACAGACAGTTCATTACTGCCTGTAACTCCCGCTCCAGGGGATCTGATGCCCTCATCTGGCCTCGTTAGGCACCTGCACTCATGTGGCATAAATACACACAAACACACATCCACACAATAAGTAAAAATTAAAAAAAAAAAAAAAAAAAAAGCTGAAAATGGATAACAATACTCAAGCACGGTCAGCAAATTATGACTGTGCTGCAGTTCCAATCACTGGGATTGTCTTACCAGGTGGGCAAAACCGGGGGCCTTGATCTTACACCGGTAAGGGCGGCTGCTGCCATCAGACACCAAGTACACCCCAAACTCTCCCTGTCCAATGAAGAGAGTTGGACACCCCATTAGTAAGAGAAGCGCTCTCTGCCCAGCCTCTGGCTTACCCTTACACCGCCTATCACCAGTGTCGTAGTGAGAGAGCGCTTCACTCACTGTGGACCTCCCTCCACCCATTCCACATACTTCTCCTCCCCTCCCCTCCCCTCCCCTCCCTCACCTTAGGAGCTTCAATGGCAGTATACGTGGCTCCTGGAGGAACTTGGTAGCCCTCAGTATACAGCTTAAAGTGATGAATTAGTGACTCCATGGAAGTCTAAAGGGAGGAAAAAGGTGCCTCAAGAAACAGTATCCAGCCAGAACACAAGATCCTTGGGTTTTCTCCTCAGAGACAGCAATCTCTACCCTCAGGGAGACTACCAACCCACGCATAAATCAGGAAGCAGTGAAGATGGGCTAGAGGATGACTGCTACAAGAGCTTCAGAGTCTTAAAAGGTGAAACCGAAAGGCAGGATTTACTCCAGGGACATTTCTCCACGGCTACTTTCCGGCACCCCACCTTTCTTCCCTCTCCCTGCGGCCAACCTTCATCTCTGCGCGTTTAGGTGGAGACACTTTGGCATCGTCAACCTTGATCTCCCCCGGAGGCATCTTGTTCAGACACTGCTCGATGATTCGAAGGGACTGGCGCATCTCCTCCACACGACACAGGTACCTGAAATAGATGAGTCTATTTCTCTATTGCTCTGAGTCTTACAGAGCAAGAGAGAGCGCACAGAGGAGCAAGCAGGAGTCTGGCTGGAAGGCCTGTGGGAGACCTGTTTCTCCTGGAACAGTCTCTCGGTTTGGCTTGACAGCAGTACTTCGACTCTATTGTAAAGTCCTTCTCCAAATCTTTTTTTTTTTTTTTTTTTCCAAAAGGTGGCCTGACGTTTTTCCTTCCTTACCCTCTCACGGTTTGGACTGAGGAGTAAGGGAGTACAACGGAAAGATAAACAAAGAGAGCACCAGTAGCAAATCTTACTCTGGGGTCAGTAAACAGGAAGAACACTGGGTCAGAAGGATTCCAAACTGAATCACTAACAGGCTAACCCCTAATGTTTCCACCTTCTCAGCAACAAACGCAGCCCACACTAGTTCTAGACCATGATGGGATACAGGTAAAAATAGCACTATTGTTTGGTATGTGCGATGGTGCAGAGAATACTGGGGACTGCGAGTGCCAAGCAAACACTCTATCGAGCTTAACATATTACACAGGCTCCTACAGATACCAGGAAACGGAGCCAAAACCAAACAAAAACCAAACCAGCAAAGAGAAGTCAGGCAAGAACAAAGAAGCGAGCAAGGGCCTGGCTCTTACCTGTCGTAGCAGTCCCCTCGAGAGCCAATTGGAACATCAAACTCCACCTGGTCATACACGTCATAGGGCTGGGTCTTCCGCAGGTCCCACTGGATGCCCGAGCCCCGAAGCATCACGCCACTGTGGGCACCACGGGCATCAGCCACCCTCCACAGAGCAGGGCAGGGCGCACGCTTCCCATCTCCTGCCTCCCTCCATCTGGTCATGGAACACAGACTCCAGGCGTGGAGAGCAGAGTGCCAAACGTGCTTGAAACCGAGACACTGGGCTGTAACTCCCTACAGCCTCACCCACCCCTAAGGAAAGAAGTTGCATTCTTCTACCTGAATCCATAGTTAAGTGCATCTTCTGCTGACACAACCCCAATGTCGATTGTCCTATTTCGCCAGATCCTATTGTTGGTCAGCATCTACGGAGGGAGAGATCCAGCCAGCCAACACTCTTCATGACAATCTCCAAGAGCCTCTGTACTTACAAACCTCTGGGTACTAAGACCCCACAAGTCCTCCTGGGAGACAAAGGTGTGTTTTCCCATTGATTTCTATCTTACCTCCTCCACCTCATCGATCCGCGCTGAGAAGTTCTTGGAAAATTCATAAATGTCATCCAGGAGGCCGAGAGGTAGATCCTGGAAGCCGATGGTAACTCTTGTTACAGTTCCTCTTCCCAAAGGGATGTAGAGTTCCATCAGCCCACACTGCCCTCCAGTGGTCACACAGGAAAGGGCAGGAAGTGTGGAGGCAGGGGAGCCGCTTACCTGGTGCACTCCTCCTGGCCGGACGTAAGCAGCATGCATTCGGGCTCCAGACACCCGCTCATAAAACTCAAACATCTAGACAGAACACAGGGAATCAGAAACACAGTCCAGGGACCTCCAGATCCAACAACACGGTAGCCCACTGCCCTACCTCTAACTTCCTGTGGCTAGCCAAACGCCTCAGGATATGATTCCTACAAATACAATCCAACGAAATATACTTCTCCCCATAAATGTTTTCACCTGCCGCCTTCCTGCTCTCTCTGCGGCTTGTACTTCCTTCCCTATTCCTATCCACGACTCCCTCTTATACCTTCTCTCTTTCCTCAAACATCCAGAAAAAAGGAGTCATGGCACCAATGTCCAGGGCATGTGTGGTCACAGCCAAGATATGGTTCAAAAGCCGTGTGATCTCTCCAAACAGCACTGTGAGAGGGAAAGACAAGAAGTGATGGAAGGCGCCGGAAAGATGGCTCAGTGGATAAAAGCGCTTGCTAACAAGTCTGGAACCCACATATAGGAGGGAATGGACTTCCCAAAAGTTGCCCTCTTGACCTTACCACCCATGCCTTGACACATGCTGTTTCATATGTACGCAAATATGCTATAAGCAAAAAAATATTTATCTTTATATTGTGTGTATGTGTGTTTTGCTTTTTATGAAAGAAGGATGTAGGGGCCAAAGACTCATCCTACAGATCAGTCTGGGTGGAATCTGGAATCTAAGTATCAAGGTTGAGTTCAATACAGTTAAGATGCTGCGTGCTCACAGCGCGCAGCAGACAGGAGCATACCTCGGATCCACTGTGCCCGGGGAGGAGGCTGGATGTTCAGCAATTTCTCCACAGCCAGAGAATAGGCCTGTTCGTTACACATCATGGACACATAGTCTAACCGGTCAAAGTATGGAAGGGCCTGGGAAAAGTGAGGAACCAAGGTCACATCTAACAAACGCAGGAGTCCACACTGTCTGCTGCTGGAAACCTTCCTCTTGTCAAACCCTGGAAGTCAGTACGCACCTCCAGAGTCTCAGGAGCCCGAATGAAGCAGAATGAAATCTCCCAAAAAATCAGTAACATGCATATGTAAAACTAGCATAAAATGTTTAAAACTTGGCTCTCCAAAATGAGGGGAGATTTACCGTTACTTTGATTTATCATGTTTGACAGTTTCCATGGTGAAAATACTATTATGGTCAATTTTAAGCTATCAAAATGTAACTGAATGTAAATGCACCCTTGGAACACACTGCATAACACAGTAGCTTCACGATACACATCAAGTATCTCTGAGTTTGATGTCAGCCTGGTCTACAGAGTGAATTCCAAGATAATCAGAGCTACAGAGTAAAACCTTGTCTTAAACAAAACAAAACAAACCCAAAACAAATAAACACACAGAGAAGGAGAAAAGAAGTGTATAATCTAATTTCTAATAATAACTTCAGCAATTAAGTCATAAACTTCACTAAACATTTAATTCTCAGGCTCTTACAAGCCAGTACAAACTGACGTAAGCACTATGACTTTCTCACACAGTGCATAGAACGTCTAAGCCTTTCCCTCTTAGCCCCTTAGAACTGAGATTCTGAAGGAGCGGAGTAACCAGTTTTACCATAGCTTTCCCTCAGAATGCCAAAAAAAGGCCAAATCCCAGCTGCTACTAAGTCATTCCTGTTTCTAGGAAGAAGGCGGAGCTAAAATGCTTCTCACTGGGACAGCCTGTTCTGGTTCCTGATGTCATCTGTGACGCAGAATGATGCGACAGCAGGAAAGCTGGGACCAGAAGCCACCACTGCTTAGGCTCCCTGGAGGAAGCACACAGTCACAGGGCTGGGTCTAAGCCCTTATTCCAAATGGCCTTTCTTCAAACCAAACAGCCTTTGGAATCCAACTCCTTCAAACCTGACCTTCAACTATTTAGGTCACACAGTTCTTCTAAAGACAGCAAACTGTGTCACAAACCTCCTCCGGTCAGTCTGACTCACTGAGCGTTTTGGAAACACATTTACGAGAGTGGGAAGACACAAGAATCAGCTGTTAATCTCAAAAAGCTGACGTCTCATTTCTCCTCCTCTGCCCTTTGGGCCACTAGTTTTGACGCACTCATATAAAAGGAGGGAAACTGAGGCACTGGAGTAATGATAAAAAGGCCAGCCAAAATTCAGACAGAGAAAAGCTGGGAGTGTGGCTCCAGCTATGATGATGCTGAAGAACCCCAATGACTCCTGCATCCTTCACCACCTTCCCCACGCCCCCTTCCAAACATAACTTCAAAGGACTAACCCTCACCACCCTTTGCGGGAGCAAACCCATGAGGCTGAGCTCCAGCTCAGACGCCGTTGCCAGGCCCCTGTCCATCCCCACACCTGCAGATAGGTCTTGTACTCAATGAGCTTCTCGGTGGCCCGGTGCAGAAGACCGATGTGAGGGTCGCACTTGCGCACCATCTCTCCACTCAACTCCATCACCAGTCTCAGGACTCCGTGGGCCGCTGGGTGCTGGGGCCCAAAGTTCAGGGTCACATTGGTCACCGTCTTTTCCTTCAAAATGTCCACATCTGAGAAATGGGAAATAGTTCAGGCCCAAATGGGAATTCCCTTGGGCACCCCTAAGATACTTCGAGGTGTCAGCTCTCCCTACAGACCACCACCCCACTCCTTGTTAGCACCCTCAGGCCAGCATAACTAGGTAGATGGCCAACAAATGGGAAGTTCTGAGTTTTCCAATGAGAGAAATCAAGTTCATTTTATATCCCCTAGAACAGTGGTTCTCAAACCTATGTGTCATGACCCCTGTAGGGGTTGAGTGACTTTTCACGAGGGTTGCCGAAGAAATACAGACATTTACATTACAGTTCATAAAAGTAGAAAAAGTACAGCTACAAAATAGTAACGGAGGTAATTTTAAGGTTAGAGATTATCACAACATGAAGGACTGTATTAAAAAGCTGCAGCTTTAGGAAGGCTAAGAACTACTACCATAGAACATCTTTTATTTTGTTGTTGTGCTAGGAATTAAACCTAGGGCACTGCTTGTCCTGGGCAAGGGCTCTACCCCACCTCATTTTTACTCCCAGGCAGGACCCCACTAGGTTCCCCAGGATGACCCTGAACTTACTCTGTAGCCTAGACTAGAACTGAACCATTGATGATTCTCCTGTCCCAGCCTCCTGAAGAGTTGGGCTTACAGGCCTGTGCAAGGGAAGTTTTGGTTTCTTTGTAAACTCAGTTATGTAAACGTTTTTGTTTAAATCCTAAGTGTGGATTTTAGTTGGGTGTTAGTTTGTCCACAGTTGGTAATTATTGTGTGTGGAACATGGCCTTTGACAGCTGATACCAGCCTGCCATGTGCAGAGACAGGGGCATGCTCTGGGACTCTGAGGATATGAGAGTTCAAGGAGAGAAGGGGTGGCATGTGGCAGGCAGTGTTGGCCTGTGGCATGTAGCAGTCTCAAGAAAAGAGACTGATGGGGTTTGGAGCAGACAGAAACGCTTTGGGGCACCGTGGCTTGGAGGAGACTGCTGGCTGCATTTGCCGTTGAGGGAGACTGGTATGGCCCTAAAAGAACCCATTGAACCTAAACAACCAGGAGAAATAAAGGGGTCTACGCCCTCTCTCCCCACTCTCTCTCTCCTACCTCGGGTTAAAGGGCTGGTGGAAGGGCGGTGAAGGCATAAAGACCCCAAATAAAACAGTTTAAAAACGAGCGCTAAGGCATATGCTACCAGGCTTGGCTACTATTCTTTGTTTATTTGTTTGTTTTGAGACAGGGTTTCACTACTATAGCCCTGACTGGCCTGCAACTCACTATGTAGACCAGGATGCTATGAATTCAGAGATCTGCCTGCCTCTGCCTCCTAAGAACTGGAATTAAAAAGGCAGGTGCTAGGGGCTGGAGAGATGGCTCAGAGCATAAGAGTGCTGGCTGTTCTTCCAAAGGTCCTGAGTTCAATTCCCAGCAACCACATGGTGGTTCATAACCATCTATCATGAGATCTGGTGCCCTCTTCTGGTGTGTAGGCATACATGCAGGCAGAATACTGTAGAACTTTAAAAAAAAAAAAAAGGGCAGGTGCTTTTTTTTGGCAGCTGACAAATATTTATTAGTCACCATGAAAATTTAAAAACATAACAAGTGATCCAGCCAGATGGAGGCAGAAGCATCCCAGGCCATAGAATCAATCCAGGCCAAGTCTCAGAAGCAGGGACATCTCTAAAACATTTCTTTTAATGTATGTGCCTGAGTGTGCACACATATGTACCACATGTGAGTAGGCGTCCAAAGAGGTCAGAAAGCATCAGATCCGGAGTTACAGATGGTTCTGAGCCAATAACCACTGAGCCTTGGCCTCTCGTCTGTCACTATCATGATATATCTAAATGTACCTGATAAATGGACAACCAGTGAGAAATACATACCTAAGCTAAGCATGGTGGTGCATGCCTTTAATGTCAGTACAAAGAAGGCAAAAGTAGGTAGACCAGGAGTTCAACACAGCCAGAACTACATTTTTCTTGATAAAAAACGAAAAACGTCACTCCTGAATAAGAGAAATATTCATTGGTTTGGAGACTGGCTCTGCTGTAGCTCAGGCCAGCGGCACACTCACTACCACTATGTAGCCTAAGATGGTAACCCTAAAATTCTGATCCTCTTGCCCCTACTTCCTCAGTACTGAGATTCTATAATCTCAGGAGGAGCCTATAATCACTTCTAGTTTATGCCATGCTGGGTATCAAACCTAGGACCTTGTGATTTTAAATAAGTGTTGGGAGCGGTGCCTCTGGCAGCTGCTTTGATATTGAAATCTCAGTGGAGAGACTGCTTTTACCAGACCTACTCTAAAGGCAGGGTAGAATTTGCAAGTCCATCTCCTTTTGTTTGTGACAGCAAGTAGGATAGCTTGTGAGGATCACACCTCTTCCTCAGGCTCCTTATGGAATTTAAACCATTGTTCTGAGATGTTTCTACTCTGGCTTAGAAACTCTACAATAAAAAGACAGGCCGACAGTTACTGCAGGAGAAGGCTGAAGATGATGCTCCAAGCATCCTGTCTCAACTCTTGTGTAAACAGGACACAAATAAAGCAACTAGATACAATGTTGTATAATGGGAGGAGCCAGAGAACAGGAAAGGGTGGGAGGAGAACAAGGAGAGCAGAGCACGAGAGAGCAGAGCGCGAGGAGAGAGCTTGGAGGACGTGGAGCATGAACCAGACCTAAGATTTCACAAAAAGCAAGTATAGTGTGGGAAATCTAAATGTTAGGAAACAGAGGGCTGGAGGCAGAGGAGGAGGCAGAGACTTGAGACTTGCTGCTTGCACTGCTTGCTGCAGCAGCCTGCCTTTTGCTGTGGCTGTCGAGTCTGAACCTTTAAAAAAGTTTCCTGTGTGCTGTGTGTTTATTTTATTAATATTAATCCTCACTCCCGACTCAAGAACCGTTCGACTCTGCTAGCTGGCTCCGGCAAATAAGCATTCTAACAACTGCAATACACTCCCAACCCAAATGGCAGGGTTGTTTTTGTTTGTTTTGTTTTTAGAGATAGGGTCTCTCTACAGAGTCCTGGCTGTCCTAGAACTCACTATGTATACCAAGCTGGCCTCAAACTCAGAGATCTACCTGCCTCTGCCCCTGGGATTACAAGCATATGATACACGCCTGGCCTCCAACTGGCAGTTTTTACCCTCAAGAAACTTACACTTTTGAGTCAGGCATGGCTGGTGTAATCTTAGTGCTCAAGAGGTAAAGGCAAGCAGATGCTTTGCCTATATGATGAGTTCCAGACCAGCCAAGGCTATATAGTGAGATCCTATCTCAAAGAGAGAGGGAGAAAGAAAGAGAGAAAGAAAGAAAAGGAAGGAAGGAACGAACAAACTTTATCTTTGGAAACAAGTACATGTGAAAACTACAAACAGATGAAATTTATAAGTTTCCAGGTATCTGATGTAACTGTCAAGTATTTAAAGATCACCATGAAAATTTAAAAACATAACAAGTGATCCAGCCAGATGGAGGCAGAAGCATCCCAGGCCATAGAATCAATCCAGGCCAAGTCTCAGAAGCAGGGACATCTCTAAAACTGTTTATCAGGACTTCCTAAGTGGCAAAAAAGTAGCGTCTGGGAGGCAGTAGGGGTTAGTGGACCAACTATTAGTAATGCTAACAATAATATTTGAAAGGACTTATATACTCTAGGCCCCTACAAGTGGTGAACTTACATATGCCAGGCTTTTAAAAAAATTATAGTAGTTCCCTGTAGATTGTTACCCCTTTTGGGGTCAAACAGCCCTTTCAAGGGGTCACCTAAGACCATCAGAAAACACAGATATTTACATTATAATCAGAACAGTAGCAAAATTACAGTTAGTAGTAGTGAAAATAATTTTATGATTGGGGGTCACCACAGCAGGAGGAACTGTACTACAGGGCTGCAGCATTAGGAAAGATGAGAACTGCCTGACAACAATGCCATGAAATGCAGTAGGCACTCCATTCGCTAGTAAACACGGACTTGAGACTTGAAACCAATGTCCCCCTTTCAACTAAAGTTCTTCAGTACGGGTTTTACGGTTTGACAACTCTGAGCACCAATCTGGCTTTGTGCTCTGGATCAGGTTTGAATCAAGCACCATCACTTCTTCACACCTGGGACACCCCAGAGGGCTGGCATGATGATTACATAAAATAATGCACATACACTTCTTTGGCACATGACAGCTGTCATTGCTAAATTTCTGAAAAGGTAACTGAAACTATCTCAGTTTTTAAACAAAAAATAAAATGTAAAATGATGCTTGGGAACGATGGAGTGTATGACACTATTTGTAAGATTTCTGGAGAAGGGACAAAAATCAGTGACAAAAACCTAGTTAATATTTTTCTCCCCAAGACAGGATTTCTCTGTGTAGCCCTGGCTGTCCTGAAACTCACTCTGTAGAGCAGGCCTCAATCTCACAGCACTTGCCTCTGATCCCCAAGTGCTGGGATTAAAGGCAAGCATCAGCATGCCTGGCCCAGTAAACCCTCTTGAAATGTCCAAGATCTAACACAAGGCAAACCTAGACAGGAGTGGTGACAATAGCTAGGTGGACTGGCACACACTTTTGATCCCAGCACTTGGGAGACAGAGGAATGGAGACCAACCTGGTCTACACAGTTAGACTGTATCTCAAGAAGGGGTGGGGAGGTGGGGTTAATGAAAAAAAAAACAAAACAAAACAAAACAAAACAAACAAATAAAGATAAAAACAGGAATGACAATGAAGCAAAAGTTCTTTTGCTACTTTGTGGGTTCTTCTTTCTTCCACCCTTCACCCCTTTCCTGCCACCCTTTCAACCCAACCCTAGATGAGAAAGAAGGCTAGAGATCCCTGAATAGAGTCAGAGGTTAAATAGGGGGCAAAGTAATCGTTAGATTACTGCCTGTTGATGAGGGGGTGTCAAGTTCCTTGGGGCAAGTTTGATCTTCGTGGTCAGGATATCTGATTTCTTGTTTTTTCTTTGTGTAGGACTACTTACAAACCGCTGCCAACAGCAACCAACAACCCTTCCCCTAAGGGCCCTAGCATTTATATACCCTCTGAAAAGTCCCCAAAATTCCAAACATCACACACTCACAGAAACTGCCTGCAGCTGGCAAAACCATGACTCTGCTAGAACACGAGGCAAATCATAGTCAGCTGCTGTGAAGCAGCCCCATATCCCCACACACTTGGGATTAAAACAAAAACATATCCTTATCATAGTTCTGTGTTTTTAAAAGAAACCAAAATTCCAGAATTCTTACTTCTGAAGAACTGGCTTGACAGCTGCACGTGCTTGCTGTTCTTGCAGAGAAACCAGGTTTGGTTTCCAGAACTCCTACATGAGTATCTCACAACCATTCTTGGGGATATGATGCCCTCTTCTGTCCTCTGCAGGTAACTGTGCTCACAGAACTGTCCTTAGAAAACTGCCTGGTTTGGGCTGGAGAAATGGCTCAGTGGTTAAGAGCACTGACTGCTCTTCCAGAGGTCCTGAGTTTAATTCCCAGCAACTCATGGTGGCTCACAACCACCTATAATGATGATCCAACGTCCTCTTCTGGTGAACAGATGTGCATGAAGTCAGAGCACTTGTACACCGTATTCATAAAATAAAAAAAAAAATATTTAAAAAAAGGTAACCTAAAAAAATTAAACATATACATTTAAACACATAACATATATCTAAAAAGAATTGTTTTTAATTAAGAGAAAAATTATGAAAAAAATCTAAATGCTTTGGTGACTTATTGGACAAAGATACAGAGGACAAGAGAGACAAAAGCCAAAATGACTAAAAAGTTTCCATACTTAAAGACAATCTAGAGAAAAGAGTAATCCTAGCACTTGGGAGGCTCAGTGAGGAAGATCTGGATTTTGAGGTCATCCTGGACATTATACCAAGTCCCTGCTCCTTTTTTTCTTTCTTTTTAAAGATTTATTTATTTGGTGTCTATGAGTATGAGTGGGGTGTGTGTGTGCGGTGTTGTGAAACACATGCCTGGTGCCCTTGGAGAGCAGAAGACAGCATCAGATTTCCTGGAACTAGATTACAGATGGTAATGAGCTTCCATGTGGGTGCTGGAAACTGAAATCAGGTCCTCTTAGAGAACAACAAATGCCCTTAACCACTGAGAGGTATCTAGCACAAGAGCCTGCTTCAAAACACTAAAAAAAAAAAAAAAAAAAAAAAAAAAAAAAAAAAGGCTAATTTGTAGTGACAACTCTGGAGAGATAGCTCAGAGGTTAAGAGTACTGGCTGTTCTTCTTAAAGGTCCGGAGTTCAATTCCCAGCAACCACATGGTGGCTCACGACCATCTATAATGAGATCTGGTGCCTTCTTCTGACCTCCTGGCTCACATGCAGGCAGAATACTGCATAAATAATAAAGAAATAAAAAACAAGATGAAAAGAAAAAAAAACCACACACACACACAGAAATATTACAAGAATGTGCTTTTGTTTTTAAGTATGTGGGGATGCAGGGATGCTTTGGACTGTCTGCAGCAGCTGACTGTTATTTGCCTCATGCTCTAGCAGAGGCAGTTTTGCCTGCTGCACATAGTTGATTGTATGACATCTGGAATTCTGGGAACTTTTCAGAGGGTATGTAAATGCTAGGGCCCTGAGAAGCTTATAGAGATTGTTTGCAGTTAGTAATTGTGCTCAAAGGAAGAAACAAAGGGAAAAAGTTAAATGTAGGGATCTCTATCTCTCTCCCCTCTCTCCTTTCTAGTGACAGGAGGTAAAACGAGGGTGGGGGAGTGGTTGGGTGATGGGGAGATGCAGGGTGAGGAAAAGAACCCACGAAGTAACAAAGATCTGCTTACATTAATTGGTTGGGTTTTGTTTCTCTCAGTCTTTTTCTATTGTAAAGACTTACTTTTTTGGGGGGGGGGTGTAAGAGTGCTTTGCTTATAATGTATGAATGTTTACCACCTACCTACAGCTGCCTCAAGAGGCCAGAAAAAGGCAGTGGATTCCATTGGAACTGGAGTCACAGGTGGTTGTGAGCCACCTGATATGGATACTGGGAACACAACCTGGGTGCTCTGCAAGAGCAGGAGGACATGCTTTTAACTCAAAGCAATCTCTCCTGAACACATAGTTTTGATGGTGCAAAGAAGCTTATATGTAAATAGGTTTCATTCAAATGCTATTAGGAAAACCGTGTTGTCCACAGAGAGATGGAAGTGTATTGAATCCGGAAAAGGTTGACATTAATTACATAAATGGTAAGGACCTTACAGTTTTGAAGATGGCTACCATGCCTGTCCTTTTCTTACTAATAAATCCCTGCTGTTATCATGTTTTTGCCTGAGACAGGAAGCTCAATAGCACTTAAAACTCAGCAAAGACTTAGGCACTGGTGGTGCATTCCTTTAATCCCAGCAGAGGCAGGCAGCCTGGTCTACAAAGTTGAGTTCCAAGACAGCCAGGGCTTCACAGAGAAACCCGCATTGAAAAACAAACAAGTCAGCAAAGATTTCTGACAAGTTGAGACAGCAGCTCTGAGAACTCACCATTCCAAGGAGGCGGTTTCCAGTGGGCTGTTTCCTTGGAGGGGTACATGACAGGTCCTGCATACTGCTCTGCAAATTCCACATCTGGCTGCCATTGCCGAGCACCTCTGAGGAATTAAAGATAGAGCCTATACAAATGGCATGAACAGTGTGCTTGGTTTCTCTGTTCCCATTCACTTTTTCTCAAAAAAAAAAAAAAAAAAAAAAAAAAACAAAAAACAAAACTGAGATTGTAATTTCATTACAACCTTTCTCCCTTCAAAGCCTCCCATGTGCCCTCCTTCAAATTCATGGACTTTTTTCACTACTTACTGCATGACTACATATATTTATATATTCCTAAATACGCTATTCACTCTTATGCGGGCCCAAGGAAGGATGGCCTGTAGGGCAGAGCTGTATTCTTCAATGCCAAGTCACTGACACACAGTGCAGTTTTGGAAATACCAAGCTGGGGTCCAAGCCCCTTCACGAAAACGAAATGTGTTGGGAATAGCGTTTATTCAAGGTAAACCTAAGATTCCTAATGCTGAAAGGAGAGGGAAGGAGGGAGGAGAGAGAGAAAAATAAGGCTCGAAGAAGAGGGGGTCTCTTCTTCGGATATGAGTGGTACACTCTCATCACTAATTTTAAGGGAAGGATCTTCCACCCCACGTATTTCGCTCCTGACAAAACAAACTCATCTCCTCCCCATCCCCATCCTCCGCTACAGGAGGCTGGCTGCACCGAGGCACCTGAGAAATCTGTTCTGCGCAAGGAGGGTCACAGGCCTGGGTCATTCCTTCCTAAGGGGTCACCGAGTCCTTGAAATGTCCTCAGACTGGAGAAATCGTAGTTTTGAAGAGAACACACGTAGGAATGCCTGCTCCTCACCTGCTGGGCTGACTCGGCAGGAGGATCCCCGAGCCGGGCCGCAGCACCTGGGCCCCGAGGCCGCGGAGGCCGCACAGAGCCCTCAGTGCCGCCATCTTTCCCGAGCTGCAGACGGTCGGCGGGAGGAGCGGGCGGAAGTGGCTCCCGCGCGCCCCCTGGTGGGCTTCCCTTCCATCGGCACAGCCGGGTCACCATCTTGGAAGCTGGCGGGGCGGTCAGTTTGCGAACCGAACAACATCCGGATTCCGCCTCCCGGCTTCCTTCGCGCTTAAATAAACAGTGACCGCGGTCATCTTTAGTAAGGGCGTCCCTCCTTCTCACGGCTTTCCTGGGCGTAACACAAACGGGCTGCCCGCTCCTGGGGCAACTTCGCGCGGAATCCGCTCTCCCGCACTCCTTACCTTCGAAACCCTCCCCGAGTCCCCGTCACACCCTCTGTAAGGGCGTTCCTTCACTATTCCTTTGCATCTTGGTCATCCTCCTGTGGTAGTTTTGCCTTCCGACTGAAGGCCCATGTTTTGAAAACTATCTCTTCATTACGGAATTCAAAAGAGTTAACTTCCACACGTCCGGAATAGTGACTGTGGAAAGAGCGAATCTGAGCGCTCCCCAACAAAAGGGAATAGAAGGCCGAGGCCGCAAGCAAAGCTTGTGGAGCGGGTGCAAGAGTGTGGAGTCACCTTTTTGCGAATGGGGGGCGGAGGGGGTCCTCTGCCAATGGCCCTTATAACCCTATAACGTCCAAACCTGCAGAATCACAGACTCAGAAAGCAGCCTTAGCGATACCTCGTACCTCACCTCCATTCAGGACAGTCTCCCCCTGCCACAGTCCTCCTCAGAAGTATCTAACGACATAAAACTGTAATAATACCAGGACTCTGAGATTAATTTTTGTGTGGACAAAGAGTTTTCCTGCGCTGGAGGCCGATTTTTGTCTCTCTTTTTGTCTCCAAGCCCAGCTCCAGCTGGGCCACCCACTCTTTGAGGTTCTACAATTTTCTCGTTGGAAAGAGGCCTCCCCCACGTCTCTCCCAGACAGGGTCCCTGGGATATAGCCCACCAGCAGCGCAGCTGGGTGGAGCAGTCAGACCAGGGGAGTGGCGCTGAGAATTCTTAGCTGCAGAGGAAGAGGAGAAAGCCAGACTTCTAGGCTGAAAATTGACCTAATGGGAACCATACCAAAGGGTGGGGCCAAAGATCCTTTGGCTGTGGGAACTGACCAAGGCCTGGTGTACACAAGGTAACCCCCAAAAAAGCAAGGCAGAGGTTTGGTCCCTTTACATCTCTGTCCCTTTTTCTGGGCCTTTCCCCAGCAATATAGTTTAAACCCTAAATGTGATATGATGGAGGAGGGGGATTACTCCTTTTTGTGTTAACACATCCTAAGAAAACTCAAGATGAGACTCTAGCTTGCTTAGCCCTGGGGGAGGTTTGAGGGCTCTTGGGGGGCTGCCTAGGACACTGCATCTTTTGTGCCTTCTCCCTTCTGCCAACACCCCCCCCCACACACACACACACACTGTTGCTGCCATTCTATGGCTCTTTGTCTTTCACTGCTTAGTCACCCTCTTTGTTCTCATCTCAGATGGGGGGATGGAAAGGGGCAATAAGAGTACCCTGGTGACAGCTCCTCTTGCCCCTGTCCCTGCTGTCCCTCATCCCTTGTATGACTGGCTCCTCCAGCCGCAGCCCCTCGCTCAGGAACCAGGGAGGGTTAGGGCATGTGATGGGTCAGAGGTGAGACTGGAAATCACAGCAGGGTGGGTAATTCAGGAAGTGATAGGCACCAGGGCAGGTTAGTGCCTGGAGCAGGAAGGGAGGCAGAGAGGAAGCATTCTGTTGAATAGGATGGGGAGGGGGGACAGGAGGTGACAAGGCAGAGAATGAATAAGGGGACAGGGGCAGGGGAGGTAGTGCTTCTCTGGTCTGGGAAAGGGAAGGGACTGCTGAGTGTACTCCTTCCTGGGGATTTCCTGGGGAAGCAAGTGGACACAGGGTGGAGTGGACAGAAATGATCCCCACTTCTGAACTCTTCAATTCCTTGCCTTTAGAGTCTGCTCTTTATTTCCTTAGACCCCTCCAATTCTGAATCAGAGAAGTCATTAACGCCTTTCTGTAACCCCTCCTCCCCCCAAACACACATACGCACACACCGATCACTATTCTCATCCCAGGTTCTGGGCTTCCGGTCCTCTTAGTACCCCTCTCTCTGCCCCCACGGGCAATGAGGAGTCAAAAATAACTAGATATTCCAGGAACTGTTTGAAAGGTCTCAGGGGTGGGGTAGCAGAGACTGACTCTGGGTGATTCCAGGTTTCTGAAAGAGAGCAGGTCTTGTCTAGGTGAGGCCGGCTGACTCGAGGAAGGGGAGGGTTTAGGTCATTTGGAATAGGTAGGAACAGGGCCAAGAGCCTGGGGAAATCTACTGGGAGCTGAGCCAGGGGAATGGGCAGTTAAAAGTCAGGGAGGAGGAGGTCTAGGATGGGAACGGCTGTTCCATGCTTTGGATGGATAACTCAGGAGGGGGTGGGAGAATGAGAATGAATGAGAGCAGAAGAGCTATACTCTGAATCTCCCTCCTACAAAAAGAAAAGTGGTTAACGCCTTTGTTGTCCATTTCTTTCTTATTCCCATTTCAACAGAAAGTTCCTGACTGCTGTCTCCTTGCCTTCCGGTCCTACTGACTCTTCTTCCCAGCTTCTTGTTCCCACCTTTTTTTCTCTCTTAATGCTTTCTTACCTGTTCCCCATTTCCTTTTAAACCCAGACAGGTTGGCCCTAGAAATCAGCCTCTGGGGTAGGAGACAGCATAAATGACACCTGAGGGAATGTGGACTGTTCCGGGCTGAACAGTAGGGACATGAATTCTCCCAGGACGAAATTTTATCTGTGTGTGTTGTCCAGGCCCTTTCCCCGAGTCCCAACCTCCCTTGGGTCTCTGTCCCACCAAAAAGGGAAAGAGACAGCTGAGGGCTGCTGGTGGGATTTGGAAAAAAGATGTGTCATCAACTGGCTCAGTGCCTATAATGCATCTGGTTGCTAGAGATTCCCTTTCCCCGGGCAAGTCCCTCCCCCCCCCTTCTTTTTTTAAGGGGGAAAAAAACCCACGAAGGTCTTTGGGAAGCAATGATATATCCATCTATCCGAGTCCCACTGACCGAGCTGAGTGCCTGAGTGGCTTCCAGATCAGCCAATCACGCACAGAGGGAGGCTCTGGATTCTTATGCTTAAAAGAGCTGGAGGGGAGAGAGGCTGGGGAGAACCCGGGGAGACCCGAAGATACACAGAAACCAAAGAGACAGAAGAGGAGAGAGACAGAGACAAAGAGACAGCAGAAGGAGGCAGAGACAGGGCAAGCACTGAGGCATAGCCAGACAGCTGTGCAGAGGGAGAAGCCAGGGAGACACAGACAGGCAGAGACAAAGACCCAGGAGAGAAGGCACAGGAGGGAGTTTTGGAGGAGAGAGACCCACTGGGCACTTTTCCTGAGCCCAGGGGCTGTTTTGTTTTTATTTTTTGTTGGTTTTTTTTTTTTTTTCATCTTCTCTGAACATCCCTAGCCACTCTAAAAACTTTGTCTCCAATTTTGGCACAAGTCCGAGCCCCTCTGTCTTTAACGAGGAGCCTGCCACAGTTAGGGTGTGGAGGATTTGGTGTCTCAGATGGCCTCAATCCATTCCAGCTGCAGCACCGGTACCATGTCCCAGATGGGCTTGCATCCCAGGAGGGGCTTGACTGGGCACCGGCTGCGAAGAATCCAACCCTGCTTGCCGCTTCACACTGCGCCTTTCTCTGGTCTGGAGAGGTTGCTGCTGCTGCTGGCCTCCCTCCTGCCCTTAGCCTGGTCAGCCAGCCCCATCCCCCGGGAGGAGGAGATCGTGGTTCCAGAGAAGCTCAATGGCAGCGTATTTCCTGGCTCAGGCATCCCTGCCAGGCTGCTGTACCGCTTGCCAGCCTTTGGGGAGATGCTGCTACTAGAACTAGAGCAAGACCCTGGGGTGCAGGTCGAGGGGCTGACAGTGCAGTACCTGGGCCAGGCACCTGAGATGCTGAGTGGGGCAGAGCCAGGTACCTACCTGACTGGCACCATCAATGGAGATCCGGAGTCGGTGGCATCTCTGCACTGGGACGGGGGAGCCCTACTAGGAGTGTTGCAGTACCGGGGGGCTGAACTCCACCTCCAGCCTCTGGAGGGAGGCACCCTTAACTCTGCTGGGGGACCAGGGGCTCACATCCTACGCCGGAAGAGTCCTGCCAGCAGCCAAGGTCCCATGTGCAACGTCAAGGCTCCTTCTGGGAGCCCCAATCCCATTCCCCGCAGAAGCAAGGTAGGCAGCCCTGGAGACTGTGTCCCGGATCATCCTCCCGACATGTCTGTCCTACTGACCCCCATTCACCCTCTCTCCTCCCACTTCTAGCTTTTCAGCTTTTCACCTTCTCTCTGCCTTTCCTATCTCCACTACCTTTACTTCGGGAGAGTGCTGGCTTCTTCCTGCCTCAGCCCTTTGCTTTGCTCTGAGAATTCCCTGAGGTAGGTCAGATTCTCTCGGCCGGAATGACCTCTTCCCCCTCCCTACCCCGCCCCTTCCTGGCCATGGAGTCTCCTGCTGACACAGTTCCCAGCAGTAAAGCTCTCTCCTAACAGCCTGTTGGCCTAGGCTCTTTTCTCTGCCCCAGTGATTTTTGCCCCCACCCCCAGCCAGAGGAGTAAAGTTTGAGGCCTGAGGGATTGGTTTTTGGCTTCTGATGTTCCCTTTAAAATTGTTCTGGCAAACTTCAAACTAGGACAGGAGTAGGCAGGGGAAGAGAGGCATCCCATACCTCTGGGTCAACCCTCTCCCCACACTGTGGGCTGACTGGAAGGCTGCCTGAGGCGCCATCCTTTCCTCCTTCCCACTCCTGGGTCTCCCCCTTTTTCTCCCCCACCCCTTCTCTAGCTTTAATCCAGACCAGACGCTCCTTCCACACCCGCCACGCTGAGATCTGGCTGTGGCCCTAGCTGCTGACTGAATTGTTCCTCCAACCGCACAGGGCAGACACGTCGCAGCCCAGTCCTCTAGCTCCGCTCCCACAACCCCCCGCCACACTTGGGGACCCCAGTGCCCCTCCCCGAAGCAGTCCCAGCTGTTTTT